AAAAAAAATTCTGTGTTTAGCATGCTTCCCAACAACAGCAAGTTCATACTAAATGACAGTCAAATCTAAACCTTGATCTTTTTTTCTCCCTCAATCTTCCCTTTCTCCTTTCACCACAATACCATCCATTTTGCTTCTGCTGGGCACATAGTACCATTCTTCAGAGTATTTGCGACCCATGAAGTAGGCAGAAGGGCTAGGAATAATAAGACATGTGCATTGTCTGTGCAAGAGTGGTATGCAGGGGAGAATATGCACCCACATCTTACTGATTTCGCATGTTTCACATCTCCTCTTTTTTTCTCATTACCACTGCTGTCCCTCCAGCACAGGCCCTTGTTCCTTCACTCCTGGACTAGTGCCATGATCCCCTCCTCACTGCCCTAGCTCCACATTAGCTTTGCTCTCACCCATCTTACACCCTGGTCCAAATCAACTTTTATTTAATCACCCCTCTGCTCAAAGACCTACTGTGGATTCTCACTGTTCTACCACATTGAATCTAAATTCCACAGACTGGCCTTTGAGGCTTTTAACCAACTTGTTCTGCTCACCCCCAATCTCTGCAATCTCTTTTCTCGTTATTCTCCTCTCCAGCCAAGCAACTATGCTTATCGACCTGCACATATGGCTTGCTTATTTCTGTGCTTGCTCCTTGCCTTTGAACACATCCCACTTCTCTCTGCTAATTCATGCCTATCACTTCAAGATCCAGCTTAAAACACCCTCTTGTGGGAAGTCAGATCTGGTTAACTCCTTCCTGTTCTTTTGTTCCATATTCCAGATCACACTTGTCTGCAACATTTACTTCATATTACTTTTTCTTTACTGATGTTTTGCTTTTGAAAAAATAACAGGTCTCATTCATTGAGTACTTACTGTGTGCCAGGCAGTGTGCTAAGACATTTTAGGTACATTTTTGCATTTAATACAATGGGCCAGGTGCAGTGGCTCATGCCTGTAATCCCAGCACTTTGGGAGGCCGACTTGGGAGGACTGCTTGAGCCCACGGGTTCAAGACCAGCCTGGGCAACATAGCAAGATCCCCATGTCTAAAATTAAAAATAACAATAATAATCCTGACAAAAACATTTTGAGATAGGCATTCCATTTTGCAGTTGAGGGAATCAGGATTCAGAGAGGTTAAGACACTTTCTGAAGGTCACACAGCTAGGAAGTAGTAGAGCTGGCATTTGAGCCTTGTCTGATTCCAGAGCTCTATACATGTTCTGATGTTGTGCTTTTAAGGCAGGTCGTGTGTCTTTGTGAATCTAGTCTCTCCCCATGACAATGTAGCCTCTCTAGGGCAGCATTCATTCCCTACAACTGTGGCTGGATCACTCCTAGAAATAAGCATAGTGCTCCTCACTCAGGCAACACCCACTGATCCCCTGTTCAGCCTGTTTCCTCCCAGAGCTCTGGTAATATAGGTCTCAAGCCTGTGCATTCTCAAAGTGGTTGCATTACACAATCACCTAGGAAACTGAAAAAAATAAATAAATCCTGATGCCTGGGCTTCACCCATGACCAATGAAATCATAATCTCTGAGAGTAGGACCCAGGCATCTGGTTTTTTCTCAAAGCACTTAAGGAAATTCTATTGTGTAGTCAATGTTGAGAATCACTCAAAACATAGAAGACTCAGTTGGAAAGCTGTGTCTCTATTTTAAACCTCTTTTATTTCTCAGGAAGCCACATCTTCCCTGCATGCCTTGTCTTCCCTGCCCCCTTCTCTGCCAGTCCATTTGGCTTTTTACCCAACAACATCTGAGGAGGGCAGCAACCATTGGTTGAGGAGGTAGCCACAAGCCAATTAAACATCGGCTCCAAGCCAGTTCCTAAACCAATGGGAATCCTGTGAATCACAGGTGGAAAAATTAACATATTAAAGCTTTCTGGGTTTCACAAAGACAAAAATGAAGCAAATAATTTTCTGTTTTAGAAACAGCAAACACTCCACCTCTTAATCTGCTACCAATATCTCCCCCTGGGAAATCATTTAAGAAAGGAAAGTTGCAACTCCTCTAAGAGCTTCCGCCAGCTGGCAGGCAGTCCTGCCCCCCACCCACAGTGGTCACTGGTATTCAAACAGGAGTGCTGTGGAGGGGGTGGCTGACCAAGACTGCCAGACTTTGCACAGGCGACAGCTGCTTGCCAGTCCGAAGGAGCGGATCTATGGGAATAAATCTGAGGTTCTGGAAGGGCTGGACTCTGGGGGTGAAATAAGGACAAGACTCTGCATGTTCCCCTTCTTCCCAGGCCCCCTCTGTTCTGTTCACATGCTTAGACAACCGCTCTTCAACGACTCAAGTTGCATGTGCCTATGGCAGGGCCCCCTAACTGGTGTGCACATGGAATGGGTAAAGATGGGCCAAGATATTCATTCCTATAGTTTCTGGGGCAGCCAGGCAGAACCTGGGGTGGACAGAGTCTCTGGGGCTACTCCATTTACCCCAGTGTTCCACATGAATATAATTTTCTTTTCTTTTCTTTCTTTCTTTTCTTTTCTTTTTTTTTTTTTTTTTGAGACAGGATCTCACTCTGTTGCCCAGGCTGGAGTGCAGTGGTGCAATCACGGCTCACTGCAGCCTTGACCCCTCTGGCCCAGGCAATCCTCCCACTTCAGTCCCCTGAGTAGCTGGGACCACAGGTGTGTGCTACCATGCCCAGCTAAGTTTTGTATTTTTTTGTAGAGACAGAGTTTCACTATGTTGCCCAGGCTGGTCTCAAACTCCTTAGACTCAAGTTATCTGCCCACCTTGGTTGGCCTCCCAAAGCTTGGGATTATAGGCATGAGCCACCATGCCGGCCTGTGAATATAATTTTCTATGTGTGCTATGATATGAGAAAAATGAGAAGCAGTGGCCTGGGGGTAGCTCCAGGTTCTCCAGTTTCCCGGCCCTGTGCTGAAGAACTGTCTCCCTAGCATTCCTTAGTGCTGGCTGACCTTATTATTTGGTCAAAATGGCATGTCCCTGAGGGCTGAGAAGAGATAGAAAGATTAGCCTAAAGAGTCCCAGAGTTGAACCACTTCAGAATTACTGAACCTCACCTGACAGACTCAAATTCTCTTTCTCAAGTTTACTTCTTCCTCTACTCCCAAGGCCTGTTCCTGAACAGAAGGAGACCCTCAAAGCAGGGCTTACCTTGGCATCCATGATGCTGGTCTCCACCCGGGCCACACCCTGGTTCTCCCGGAACAGCTGGATCTTGCTGATCTTGCTGAACTCGGACAGCACAGTGGTGAGGTTGGTTTTGAGGTCAATAACATGGCTGATGCCATGACGGGGTCCCACCAGGAGAGTGGTGGCCGACTGCTTCTCATCCTGGTGCCCAAGAATGGCAGGCAACGTTCACAGAAAGAAGGGTAGAGGAGGTGGGGAGAGGAGGCAGAAGGAGGAAATAGAAAACATGCATTGGACGCTGCTGGTAGGATCTGAAAATATCTGGGGCTTAGTGCCACAGTAGGACAACCTGGAGGGGAAAATGGTCTGGGACAGAAAATGGTTCCTGGGATAGAGCCCCAGATTATGGGTCCAAATGAACACCTTAGCCTCAGCAGCAGGTTGAGTAAAGTGCACAGGCAGAAGGGCTGGCTCTAGCAAAATCGTGAAGTAGGTGAGGTTTGTCTGGGGGCCTTTGGAGCACCCTCCCCTACCAAGCCCCAGGGACTTTCCATTTGTTGCTGCAGGCCATTTGAGGCCCGCACTCAGTGCTCTGCCTGAGAAGGCGGCATCCTGTGTCTGATCTTTACCCTCCCCCCACCAACAGCCACTCAGACTTGCACTTCTCACCCAGGCCAAAAACTAAACTGGCACAGGAACTCTGCCTAAGGTGTTCAGGGTTGATTGGATACTTCATGGCAGCCTCCCTCCTTAAGCAGAGATTGACCTTTTAATGGGCACTCCAGCAGGTATGGCCAATAGAAATTTTAGCAGTGGTAGGTGGGTGGAAGAAAGATTTGACAGTGTATGAAGGAGGTGGGAGGGGACAGTGGGCTTTCAGTGTTCTTCAAATCCCAGTATGTAAATGGCTACCTCTCGGCCTGAAAGACTGGATTCCCTTAAGAGGTCTTGACAGACTCCTTGGAGCAATCAAGCCTGGGTCCTCTGGTGGCCCATTCCCTGGTATTGGCATCACCCTGAGGAACCTCTTGTGTCTGTCTATAGGCACTTTGATAAGTGACTTTCCACCGATGTGCCACACTAGCTGACAGTGTGCTCCTGGGAGCAAGACAAGCACCTGGATCCAATCAGCAAGGTGATTTGAATTTCCTTTCACCAGGTTAAACTAGCCTGGGGCATAGTCTTAGGGTGGGACTAGCTGTGCCCTGCCCCAGAGTCTTGTTCCTGCAGCAAAGGTGCTGAGCAAGCAGGGGGAGAAGTAGAAGGACTCAGGAAACCTAGGATAGGGGACTGCGGGAGTATATGGAACAAAAATGAAATAGAGCAGGGGTTGCCTAACCATGGCCCATGGGCCAAATCCCACCCACCACCTATTTTTTATGGCCCAGGAGCTAACAATGGTTTTTAGACTTTTTTAATGGTTGGGAAAAATAGCAGAAGAGGCCTGTTTTGTGACATGTGAAAAGTACATGAAATTCAAATTTTCGTGTCCATAAATAGTTACTGGCACATAGCCACACCCATTTGTTTATGCATTGTCTGTGGCTGCTTTCATAATCTGACAGCAGGGCTGAGTAGCTGCCACAGTTGCCAGTGTGGCCCGCCTGTAAAGCCTAAAATATTTACTATCTGGCCCTTTATGGAAAAAGTATGCTGAGCCCCCATATCAAGGAAGAGGAACAAAAAAAGGTCATGGAGGGATACTCAAAACAAATATCTCTTCCCACTGTATCATTTTAGCAGAGGCAGGGCCAGGGAGGGGAGAGGCAGAAGGAGGAGGAAGAGGAAGGAAGGCCTTTAGAAATATTTGCCCTTCCTGCCCCCACACCCAAGGACAAGAGCCAGCAAAGGGCTCCCTCCCCACATCCCCCCATGCTGCCCCACTGACCAGGCCCACAGTGTTGAACAAAACGCCTGTGAAGGTAGGAAGTTCATTCAGAATTCGTAGATACTGGAGCTTTGCCTGAATTGCAGAGCCCTGTGGAAAAACCCATCCAGAAATATGAGAAGCCTGAGGAGCACAGGAAAAGCAAACACTCATGTTCTCAATGAGGAGTCTCAACATCCTAGGACAGGCACCTGTCAGCAAGTGACACTGTGGAGATGTGAAGACACCCTTCATAAAACAGCAGCAAGGTTCTAGTTTGGAGAGCTCTTCCCTCTAGTATCTCATCTCCCTTTCTAAAGTCTTGTCCTACCTCCTGATCTTCATTCCTAAAGTATGCAGCTTACTCATTTTGTTTTTGGTTTAATTACAACTAACTGATGCTCCACCTAATCCATACCTCTCTCCTGAGATCTTTCAGACCCCTAGAGTCACATAGATGCTGGTCATTCCCCAGCTGGGGGTCCCACTCAATACCTTTCATACTAAGCACTCCTAAGTCCCAAGCCTGCACTTCAGGCATTCCTGGTCTCTATCAGCATCCCCTGGGCAATCGAGCCAGAAACCTGTGAGTCACACTGGACTCCTTAATCGTCTCATGTGAGGGCCACCAGTTACCAGATCATCTGGATACTTACCCCCTAGCTCCTTTTCCAATCTATCCATCCCTCTTCTCTAGCCAGTCATTGCCTTGACATTCCCACCTGTGGCAGGGTGACAGCCAGGTTACCTTCAGGACTAACACTCGTTTCCCTCTTTCCCTCAAGTGCCTCCACACACTGTTAGAGGGAGCATCCTAAAACTTAAGTTTAATCACATCAGCTTCCTGCTTTAAACCCTTCAATGGCTCCCAGCTGCCTTGAGAACGAAGTACAACCTCTTTCCTTGGCACACAAGGCCCTCCATGAACTGGCTCCTGCCAACCTCTCTGGCCTCTTCTCTTCACCCTACCTTCACCCCTTGCACACAGCTTGCATTCTCTGTACTTGCTTAGGCTGAATGATTTGCATTTCTGTCCTTGCACCATGGTTTCTCATATCTCTGGGCCTTTGTACAGATGGATCTCCCCGCCTGGGAAACACTTCCTCCCATGACCCATGCCCACGGATTCATCTAGACAAACTTATCTGTCTTTCAAGACCCAGCTCTGGCCTTTTCCACCTCCCTCAGACTAGGCTTAGTATTCTTCCTCTGTGCTTCTAGGGCACCTGTGCCTAATGCACTGTGTTGGGACTGACTAATGTGTTTTCCCATTAGACTGTGCGTGACTCAGGGGCCAAGACCAGGCCCTCTTCATCTTCATATTTCCAACCCAAGCACTGGGGTTCCTCGGAAAAAAATGTTACCTGAGGAAATGGTGGTGAGCACTGATACTCTCAGTTGAAAAGAAAACAATCTGATTAAGTATTCACAGCAAGGTGGGAATGGCTTAACTCTCTAGGGAAATTTGCATCTTAAAAGAGAAGCTAGTTGGTAATGCAAGAAATCTGGAATGGGAGGAATGTATGGGGGCGATTGCGTCCCGTGTGTACATCTGCATGCTGATTCTAGTGCGTCTCACCACTCTTCTGCTTCTTGGGCAGGAAGCACAGGCAGATTGAATCTTACAAAGCTGAGAAGCTGCTGCAGGGCTTGGGAAAGTAGACAATGGGAGTCTCTCAGAGCACCAGAAAGTGAAGGCAGTAACCTGATCCCTCGCCATTCTACCCAGTGACCCATTCTCCAGGACAGGTCTTGTGCCCCCTACTCTCCCCCTTCCCCTTGGGCTGGGGTTTTGTCTCCCAGAATTCCACATCCTAAGACTGATGAATTAGAGGTACAAAAGTACATTTCTTTTTTTTAACTTTTATTGTTATTATTATTATTATTTTTAAAGTAAAGACGCTGTCTCACTATGTTGCCCAGACTGGTCTCAAACTCCTGGGCTCAAGCGATCCTCCTGCTTTGGCCTCCCAAAGCGCTGGGATTACAGGCATGAGCCACCACACCAGCCTAGTCATTTCCATGGAAAACATGTGCCTCCCTAGGGTCCAGTGCTTTCCACACGATACATGCTCAATCAGCACTGACTAATTGGTGAAAGGGCCTGAGAATTAGCTCCTGCATCTTGGCCCCTTTGCTTTGAGGACCCTGAGCTCTCTCAGTGATGTGTCACTCAGCTGTCTCTTTGGGATGCTCAGGCTTGGGGAAGACTCCTCTCCACAACTGCCCCCACACCTGGCCAAGCCGTATGTGCACCTGAGTCAAAAGCAGTGGTCTAGAGGATCCCTAGAGGACCAGACTCTGCTGGGAAACCACCCAGGATCTCCCTGTGGCCAGTAGTGCCTGGAGCACCATGTCCAGTGGCCTACTCTGGATACCTTGGTGCCGCAGGAAGGATGTGTTTGGTGAGCCTTCAGTTGCTGAGACAGAGATTTCCGGAGGTTCTTCTCTTTGATGCCCTGCAGGAGGGAGGGGGGAAGAAAGGGTTCCAGGCCCCATTCCTTCCTAAAAGCAGAAGAAAAGTAAGAGATTAGTGAGAGAGGCAAAGTGGGACAGAGAGAAGATGGTAAGACAGAAACTGACTGAATCTGAGAGGTAGAGATGGAGGAATAGAGACTAGGAGAAAGAAAAAGGGACAGGGATGGGAAAATAACATTAGCCATAGATCCCTAGTAGAAGCTGTAGCTCTAGGGCTTCATAGTCTAGATGTGAGGGACTCCAATTCTCACTCGCATCCTATGCCCTACATTTCTGAAAAGCATAGCATAGCTCAACCAGTGTACCTTTTCCCTACGCAACTATTCGCCCCTCATTCCAAAGGGCCCCAGCACAACTCACTCCACATTCTTGAGCGAGATCTTCTGACTAGGTCGAGTGGCCGAGACAGTGATATAGATGTGGAGCGCAGCAAGGCCCAAAAGCATCTCTGGCTTGGGATCCATTCCAAAGCGTTCTCGAATAACATCATTCCGACTCTGTGAGAGAGGGCAGTCCAAATCTATCGGTTGAAGGAGACATTCCTTCCCCACCCCCTGATCTACTCCCTTACATCCCAGACAATACTCATAGTATCAGTAAGGCATGCTAGATCAAGGGACAGAGGAAGGAGCTCCCCTTGGAGAAGAGACAACAGAGGAGTCTCAGGTCTCAGAGACACTGTTCACTTCATTCAGCAGATACTAGATAGCCTTCTTCTCAGTGACAGGGGCACGCAATGGCAAGGTACAAGCAGACAGTCCAGTTCACTGCAGAAGTGAGACATGGCACCACTCCCTTTCTTTCCTCCTTTTATAAGAGACTTTCCCACTTTTTTTTGTGGGGGTTATACTCACCCTCAAGCCATACAAGGCTCCTTTACTAGCTCGGATGGAAACAAGGGGAGAAAGATATTGGGAGGGACTCTCCACAGGGCCCTGGCCCAGAAGCCCCTGGTGAGAGCTGAATTGCAGGGATGGGGGAGCATTCTGCTTCTTGGTGTCTGAAGGACAAACATGGTGATGAGTCAATCTTCCCTTTGCTATCCTAGAGGAGGTCTCCAGGAACTACTGGCCAAGGGTATGACAACCCCCAAACCCTGAGGGTCACAGCCCCAGCTACCAATGAGTCAGCCTTGGTTAGACCAGTCGCCCATTTTGTTAAAGTGGAGCCAGTATGGACTAAGGGACTAGGGAGCCACAGTGATATCACTATAATATAGGAGAGAGTGGAAAAGGAATACATCATCAATGATCATCTATGTAGAAAATTCAGTGGAATCTACTACAAAAAACTACTACAACTACCGTTTTCCCTTGGTATCCATGGAGGATTTCTTCCAGGACCCCCATGGATACTGAAATTTGTGGATGCTCAAGTCCTTTATATAAAATGCTGTAGTATTTGCATGTATCCTATGCAAATCCTCCTGTATACCTCTATCACCTCTAGATTACTTATAATGCCTAATATAATTAAAATGTTATATAAGGCCAGGTGCGATGGCTCATGCCTGTAATCATAGCACTTTGGGAGGCGCAGACTGGTGGATCACCTGAGATCAGGAGTTCAAGACCAGCCTAGACAACATGGTGAAACCCCGTCTCTACTAAAAATACAAAAATTAGCTGGGCATGGAGGTGGGCACCTGTAATCCCAGCTACTTGAGAGGCTGAGGCAGGAGAATCACTTGAACTCAGGAGGTGGAGGTTCCACTGAGCCGAGAGTGAAACTCTATCTCAAAAAAAAAAAAAAAAAAAAAAAAGTGCTATAGTGCTATGTAGGCCAGATGCTGTGGCTCGCGCCTGAAATCTCAGCACTTTGGGAGGCTGAGGCAGGTGAATCACTTGAGGTCAGGAGTTTGAGACCAGCCTGGCCAACATGGTGAAACCCTGTCTCTATTTAAAAATACAAAAATTAGCTGGGCGTGGGGTGCATGTCTATAGTCCCAGCTACTTGGGAAGCTGAGGCAGGAGAATTGTTTGAACCTGGGAAGTGGAGGTTGCAGTGAGCCGAGATCATGGCACTGCACTCCAGCCTGGGTGACAGAGCGAGACTCTGTCTCAAAATAAACTAAACTAAAACAAAAATGCTATGTAAATAGTTATTATGTTGTATTTTTACATTTTGTATTTTTTATTACTGTACTGTTATTTTTATTGTTTTTTGAATATTTTCAAAACCCACAAATATGGAAACTATAGATATGAAGGGCCAAATGTAGTGAGTTTACCAAGGTTTCAGGATATAAAATCAATACACAAAAATCAATTGTATTTCTATTCTCTTTAAAATAAATCTTTTTGTATAGAGATGGGATCTCACTATGTTGCCCAGACTGGTCTTGAATTCCTGAGCTCAAGTGATCTTCCTGTTTCAGCCTCCCAATTACAGGCGTGAGCCAACATGCCCAACCCCAATTGTATTTGTGTATGCTAGCAAGAAATAATTGAAATTTGGAATTAAAAAGAAACAACGAAATAATTACGAACAAATCTAACAAAACATGTGAAAGACCTATATACTGAAAACTACAAAATACTGCTGAGAAAAATTATAGAAGATATAATTAAATGTAGAAATATTGTGTTCAGGGATGGGAAGGCTCAATATTGTTAGGATGTCAATTGTCCCCAAATTGATCTATAGTTTCAACACAATCCCAATTCAAATCACAGCAGGTTTTGATAGAAATTATCAAGGTGATTCTAAAATTCACATGAAAATGCAAAGGACCTATAATAGCCAAACCGACTTTGAAAAAGAACAAAGTTGGAGAACAATTACTTCCTGATTTCAAGAATTATTATAAAGCTCCAATAATCAAGAGTATGATGTTGACATAAGGACAGACAAGTAGATCAACAGATCAGAATAGAGAGTACAGGAATAGATCTATATATACAGACAACAGATTTTTGACAAAAGTACAAAGGCAATTCAGTGGAGGAAGGATAGCCTTTTCAACAAAAGGTGCTAGAACAATTGGATATCCATATGCAAAAAATAAAAAAATAAAACCATGAAACTCTGATGGATACCTTGCACCACATACAAAAGTTAATTCAAATGGATCATAGGCCTAAATATAAAACTGTAAATGATAAAACATCTAGAAAAAAATAGGGGAAAATTCTTGTAACCTTGGGTTAGACAAAGATTTTTTTAGATATGACACCAAAAGCACTGTCCATAAAAGAACAAATTAGCAAATTGGACTTCATCAAAATTCACACATTTGCTCTGTGAAAGACATTGTTTAGAGACTGAAAAGGCAAGCTACACACTGGAAGAAAATAATTACAAATAATGTATCTAACAAACAGCTTGTATCCAGAATATCTAAAGAACTCTCAAAACTCAATAAGAAAACAAACAACCCAATAAAAAAGCGAGCAAGGATCTAAACAGACACTTCACCCAAGAAGATGCATGACATCAAATAAACACATGAAAAGATGCTCAACATCATTAGTTGTTAGGACAATGCAAATGAAAATCACAATGGGATGCCACTATGCACTACTGCAATGACTAAAGTAAAAAAAGAATACTGAAAATACCAAGTGCTGATAAGGATGTAAGAAACTGAAATTCTCATACATGGCTGGTGAGAATGAAAGATGGTACAACTACATTTGAAAACAGTATTGCAGTTTCTTCACAAAATTAAAGAAAGATAGATCTACCATATGCTCAGACCATTCCACTCCTAAGTGTTTACCCCAAAGAAAAGAAGGCATATGTCCATACAAAGACTGGCACATGAATGTTCATAGAAGCTTTATTGTAATAACTAAAACCTGGAAACAACCCAAATGTTCATCAACAGGTGAATCAATAAACACATTCTGGAACATCCATACTATGAAATACTACTTGACAATAAAAATGAATGAAATATTGATACATGCAACAACATAGATGGATCTCAAAATCAGTATGCTGAGCCAAATAAGTCAGATCAAAATAAGTGTACATACCATATGATCTCATTTCTATATAACTCTAAAAACTGCAAACTAATCTATAGTGACAGAAAGCAGGTCAGTGGTAGCCTAGAACTGGGAGGGGTGAATTACAAAGTGGCTTGAATAAACTTTTGGGGGTGTTGGATATGTTCAATATTTTGATTGTGGTAATGGTTTCATGGGTATAAACACAGGTCAAAACGTATGGTATTGTGTACTTTAAACATGTACGGTTTATCATTTGTCAGTTAGACCTCAATAAAGCTGTTACATGTAAACAAGAAAGAATACAACTGAAATCCATATCATCATGAAACAGAAGGATAGGATGGACATGATCTTGTCACTAAATTCTAAAATATTGAAACCAAAGTAATCCTTGGAAGCTTGAATTAAGAAATTCAGGGCAAAAAAAAAAAAAAAAAAGAGAACTAAACTTATAAAATTCACAGAGCAACCACAACTCATTGCCTCCTGGAAGGTTGGTAAATGAACCTGAGGCTGTTTGGGAAATATTCCTAACATTTTAGGTTGTCAGAACAGTCAAAAAGGACAACGACAATGTCTCATAGCACCTCCCTGGGTATCACCATCAGAGACAGATGAAGCTTTGAGTTTTTTTTTCTCTCAGTAAGTGCTGTTGTATGTCCTATGGGCACCTAAAACTCAACATTTCCCAAAATGAACTCATCTTTTCCCTAAACCCATTCCATTGCCTGTATTCTCTAACTTGGGGAATGATACCACCTCTACAAGACACTCGTTAAGTTAAAGCCTATCCATTCTACCCTTTAAATCTCTCTTGAAACCCATCCCCCCTCCTTCATCATGGCCCTGGTTCCAGCCCTTGTCATTTCTTCTGGATAACTGCCACTGCTCCCTAGCTGGTGTACTTCCTTAGCACTGTGTGGTCTTTTGAAATTGCTCATCTGACCAGGCTATTCTCTTTTAATCATTTCTGCTCTCCTACCCTCCTGCAGAATTTCTTTACTTTGGCTGCACATTAGGATCACTTGAGGAATTTAAAAAAACACCAGTGTTTGGACCCCACTCCCATAGATTTTGATTCAACTATTCTTGGATGGGGCACAGCATTTTTCCCAAAGCCTCCCAGATAATTTTAAGGTGCATCTAAGGTTAAAACCACCATCATAAATCAGAGGTTCTCAAAGTCTTCTGGGCATCAGAATCCCCTGGAAGGCTTGTCAAAACACAGAGTACTGAATTCTGCCTCCAGAGTTTCTGACTCAGTAGGACTGGGCTGGGGCCTAAGAATTTGCATTTCTAACAAGTTCCCAGTTGATGTTGATGCTACAACTCCAGGAAGCATGAAATTGCAAAGAACCTATAATAGCCACACTTTAAGAACCGCTGCCCAGCCTCAATCATAAAGTCTATACTTGCCTTGGCCTACCAAAAGCCTTTGACCACCGCTTCCTGTCTCTCCAATTTTATTCCCTACTCCCCCTTACCTCACATCCTGTACTCTAGCCATAAAAAAATCACTCATGGTTCTCTCATGATCCCATGCTGTTTCATGCCACCATGGCTTTGTAAATGCAAGGCCCTTTGCTTAGATATGCCCCCTCCATTCCATCTCTCTACACAGCAAACTCTCACTCATTCTTCAAGGCTAACAGCATGCATATATCACTTCCTCCATGAAGCCTGCACCATCTCTCTTGTGTAGAGTTGGAAAAATGCTTCCTGAGTGCCCTCATCTTCATTGCACCCTACTGCTGTCATATTTATTCACGCACATATAAGCTTTAGTGAGCCAGGACAGTTCTTCATTCACTTCTGATTGCTAGTACCTAGCATAGGGCTTAACCCAGAGTAAGTATCTAGTAAATGTTTCTGGATAAACTGAATTGGGAATCATCTCATACTGGAGCTAGGTATTGGGGGTTGGGACTCGTTGAAATCCAAATGGGTTTGTTAAACTGGATCCTGTGAGGATGCCAGAGTTACTGGGGTTGCTTGTTTCTGAAAACTGATGAGATCTGAGTGGACAAATAGACAGGACTTTGAGCCACAGCCAGCTCAGGTAACCAGGCCAGTCAACTTGGCCATGGCCTACAGTGGTAGCAGAAAAGGAAGGAAAGGGCCTTCAGGGCTACCTGGAGGTTGGAAAAACTTATATAGCTACTTCACTGTGATGGCAGAACAGCCTGCCTGCTTCTTTGTCCACTGGTCTGTCTGTGTATCCCCAAGCCAGACTCTACCTGGATGTACAGGTACTCAAAAGCAGCAGGATCCCGACGCAGCAGCTCCACAGGGTCTTTGGGAAAGAAGCTTATTCGGAAGAGGCATTTCATTCCGTGATAGTGTGTCCGCTGTACCACCTGAATTCCAGGGATGAAAGGCGAGAAGAAAAGAGATCTGGAATCAATGGCTGGGGTGCTGGGCAGGCAGCTCAGTGGCTCCTTAAGGTGAGGCTTGGGGCAGAGCTAAGCTGTTGTTTCCTATTCTGTCTCCCACCTGGCTGATTCCAATATTACCCTTAGAGGAAAGTAGTGAGGAGTCAGGTCTTTTCCACACTTCTGACCCAAAATAACAGGAATTTTCAAATCACTTATCTAGGACATGACCTTTATCAACCAATGGGTCTAAAGCCCAAGACACTAGACAGGAAAGGAGGGCTCCTGGCAATGGCTCAGGCTCTTTTCTTGCTGTGGGATTCATGCCTTTACCTTGCAGAGGGGCTCAGCCTCAAGCAGAGTAAATTGCTGATTAGAGTAAATCAAAGGTTTAAAATATTATTTCAAGGTACAGATGAAACATCTTGGCACTATATTGATAATTGTTGAACCTGGGAATGGGTAATAGGGTTAATGATACTATATTCTTCCTACTTGTGTGTATGTTTGAAAGTTTTCATAATAAAAAAGTTTAAAATCCCATTTGCAACAACAGACCAACTGAATTCAAAGGGTTGCTTGGGGTTAAGGGAGGTGCTTAGGCCTCCCTCCAGGCAGGATGCCCACAACCTTTCCTTCCCACCAGTGAGTCTCTGTATTGCATTTGGCTGAGAGCTAAACTTGAATCTCTCTTTCCAAAAATCCTTTCATCTTTTTGTGTCTGATTTGGGGTTTTGTTTGGCTTTCATGTAGGCTCTGAAAAGGTATTTCCTCCACTGTTCCTCTCCAACTCTGTCCCACCCTACTTGATAGTACTGATTGGCTTTGATTGTATCTCTGATACTTCTTGGTGCTTCATTGTTGATGAAATGCTATCCAGCAATCCTGGATTTCCCCAGCCCTTTTCCATATGGTGAGGGCTAGAAAGACCGGATACTTTTTCCTACTCTACCTTGTAAATTGATGTGGGTGACATGCTGCCTATTTTTGGCCCTACTCAGCCAATTCCCAACTCCCACTTGTCCTAGGATAAGTGGGAGTTGGGAATTGGCTGAGTAGGGCCCACTCCCTGACCCTTCCATAACAGCCTTCATGCAAAAGGCCAAGTTTTCTCCCAGGAAGCAGAAAAATCTATCATGTGGGGTTTCCAGGAGACAGGAGACTTGCAACTGCTTCTTATCTCAGCATTCTGGGTGCATGCGGTGAATCACCCCATACTCTTCCCCCTAGAGACCAAGACTAATGATCTTCATGCTCTTCTCAGCTCACAAAGGCCACTGCCAAAAGCCCTCTGGAGGTGGATAATATCAGCTTTGGGTGAGAACTGTGACTTCTGGGAACCGACTGAGCATAGCATCATGAATTTTCCAGACAGTGAGTGCCTTGGGTCTTCTCTATTAGAGGCCACATGCAAAGCTATCTGGAAAAAAGAGTTACTTACATAAGCCAGGGGTTGCTTGTCCTGAAGAAGCAGAAACTTGTGATTCTGTTCTGGTCCGGCATACTCAAGGACAAGAGCAAAGTGCTCAATGTACCTCAGGGAAAGGCGGTCCTGTAATGTTACCATCACATCCTGTGGGACAGAAAAGAGCCTTGAGAGGGAGATTGGTTCTGGCCCTAAGCTATTCTAAGCACCAACATGGGAGGGGGGATTAAACACCAAGAAAAGAAATATAGTCCTGGGTAGAAGTCTGCAACACTGGCCTTTATGGTAGCCCAGAGTCTGTGATCCACAATGAGTAAAGTGATCCATGAGTGCTGCTCAGAGGCCTGGGCCCTGGGGAGAGGTGCAGGGGGTTAGAGGTAGGTGTTTCTGAATTTCACCTGGCCAGGCATATGGCAAAAGAAGGTCACGTCTCTCCCTCCCTACCTCTTTCCTTCCACTCAACACATTATCTTTTAAATGCTTACTAAGTGCCAGGCACTGTGTTGGTTCTCCCTTCACCTTCTCTTATAAGTCAGAAGATCCACTTGGGATTGTCTGTCAACTCTTAGGAATGAATAAAAGCAAAAGTGACTTTTATATGATTAAAAAGTATACTATTTCTGGATTCATAATCTAAATCAAGTGACTTGAGTTACTGGCAAAATGTTCACTTTTGACCATAACTGGATTTTATAGATGATCAATTTAGCAACTTGAAAAATGTATCCACGCAGAGGAACTATGTCATGTGTTTTGTGTACAGTCATAAATCTGACTACTTCTGGGTTCCGTCTGCTCTGCTGCCCTACTTTTAATATTAGGGTGTCTGGAAACACATCAGTAGGGGCTGCACAAATATCAGTTTTGAGACTTCTGCCACTGATTTGCTGTGACTTTGGCTTATACACTGGGCTCCAATGTTTGTGTTCATGGAGTCAGCATCTCTCAGCCCCCAAAGGCTGGAAAGAATCAAGCTTGGGAATATGAAACATCCTTACAACTGCAGTTGCCAAACAAGCTCCTTAATGAACACTGAAAGACGTTCAGTTATTCAAATGTTAGGCTGGAAATTGGTGGGTACTTGAGAGCATCTCTTTGTGTTGTCCAAGTAGTCACAGAGGCGCCAGTGTTGCTGGAGCTCTGTCAGGGACAGATGAGGTTTTCTTTGCAGTTTGGCTGCACTGGGATTGTGGACAGCCAATCCGGTGATTGCCAACTGGTGTTACAAGTGTAACAGCCCCTGTGCCAGGCTGTCAATTCACCCAGGTACCTCTCTGGGACAAGTGGCTTGGCAGCCTGTCAAAGCTCCAATAAGTCGCCAGCACACCCTTCCTGGAGTTAGATTGAGATCACAAGCGAGGGGAACACTGCTGTCTTGGAAGGCTAGGGCTACCTGGAAGCCACAATGGCACTGATGATGTGAGGTGGGAGAACTTCAGAGAAGCCTCCAAGGGGAAAGAGAGGGCACTAAACCCTCCAGTATGGAGACAGAGTCCACAATGGACATACCAAGCCACGAATAAACCACCAAGGAGAATTCTGACACAAAGCGATATTCACATCTGGAGAAGGCACATTTGGGCACCTTCTGGGTGGTCTAGTTCTGTTTCAATGCCCCCTCCCATGCCCCTTTCAATAGCCAAAAGAACATTCTATGGCACCCTAAGTAGTATGTTTTGGTCCTAGGTCCCCTGGGGGACCCACCTAGGCCTAAGCCTTTCAAAAAACTTCTCCATTCAGGGACTGTCCCCCTCCCTGCAGAGCACTTAGCATCTCTGACCCTAAAACACAAAATGCCAGTAGCACACCAAATCATTGGGATGACCTAAAACACCTTTAGACATTTCCAAAAGCTCTCTAAGAGTGGGAAGCACCAATCCTGGTTGAAAATCACTGGCAAGACCCATTCTGAGTACCTGATAACTCCTCTTAGCAAACGTTTGCTGGCCCAAGAATTTCCTTACTTATAGGATTGCCTTGGTCCCAGTATGGGAACCTCAGGGTACCTGTGGACCAAGTTAGGTTTTCTGGGCAGGCGCTGTAGCTGCCCAGCAGTTTGGGCAGCATTAGTTGCATTAAAATACTCATTCTGGGGATGGCATTCTTTTTCTGGAGAGAGTCCAGAAGATGCAGGAATGGATATTTCTGTCCCAGAGCAGAGTTGAATCTGGGGGTGAATCATATCATCACTTATATTCCTAAGGATTAGAGAAAAGTCACTAGGACTTTCTGACACCTGGCTGAGCTGTTAAGAATCACAGTTCAGTAATTGCTCTTCCTGTGAAAAGAATAGCCAAAGGGGCTGTGGCTGGACATTTCAAATCTTGGTTCAGTGCTTGAGATCAGGCTGTTATTTAAAAGGCAAGGCATAGCTAAGCTAATCTCCCAAGAGACTGTGTTGATTTCTATGCATAAACTTGTGTAGGTGTTATTGTATCAATATAAATCACTATTGCTTTATAAATGGCTTAATGATCTTCATATTCCTTAGTTCTTAAGAGTCCTGAAGGACCCCATGTAACACAAACACAAAGCAGTTCACAAGTGTAAGTGCACACACACGGTTTAACAACTACCAGCACACAGTTGGGCATGCAAACTTCTACCACCACTCTCATCTGCATTTTTGCAGCCTTGTGCTAACAAGCATCCAGAACTTAAAGGCCACCTTACTCCAGTGGCAAGCAGCTATGTGCAGACTCAGAGGAACACAGGATACACAACCGCGTGTACTCTGGAGAGGGCAATGCTGGCCAGGGGAGGAGACTGTATGTACCTTAACAGTGGTCCGACCATCAAATGTGAATGACTTGATCTGCCCATTTTCTAAGAAAACCTTCAGGACGTTGGGGATGAGGAGGAGAGCTTCTTTCTTCATCATTTTCTGTGAACAAGCAGGGAAAGGACAAGGAGAGGGGCTCATTTAAAAGGAGGTAGGAAGCCAGAGGAAGGGTGTGAAAAAGGAGAAAAGGGATGGAGACAGAGAGCCAAAGGTGTAGGAGGACAGAGACAGAGGAAAGAGCAGATCGATAATACATGGGGACCAGAACCAAATTCCCCAACAAGACACTGAGCCATATCAAAAGCTCGCCTCCATTTGACATCATGGAGCACCCACATTCTACTGTAGCTCAAACCTCCACAGATCAGAGCATAGGGATCACTACACATCCCCTGAAGGGCTGATGAGAGGCCTCCTTTGGAGTCTATCTCACCCACCTGATCTTATCTCTGACATTTTTTAAACACCTGCTACAAAGCTTCTAGACTGATCTTATCTCCTGATACCTCCCTTTCCCTGAGGCTCTTCACAAGCCAAGATCATGTCCTGTCAAGACCTTTGCTCTGCCTTTTCCCTGCCCTAGGCCCTTTCTGACCTGGCCCCTGCCTATTCCTAGTACCCACGCCTCTTTCACACCTCCATACCTCCGATGATTCTTCATTATTCAGGGACCGTCCCACTCCCTGCACAATCCACCCTGAGACATGAAGTGCCAGTAGCACACCAAAGCATTGGGATGACCTGAAACACCCTCAGACATTTTCTTTCTTTCTTTTTTTTTTTCTTTTTTCTTTTTTTTTTTTTTACTTTCCTTTTTCTTTTTTTGAGACGGAGTCTCACTTTGTCGCCCAGGCTGGAGTGCAGTGGTGTGATCTCGGCTCACTGCAACATCTGCCTCCTGAGTTCAAGCGATCCTCCTGCCTCAGCCTCTCTAGTACCAGCTGGGATTACAGGTGATAGTCACCATGCCTGGCCCTCAGACATTTTCAAAAGATCTCTAGGAGTGGGCGGTACTGACTCCGATTGAGACATTCTTAATAAAAATTCACTAAATAAAGGCTGTTCTCTTTCTCTGAGGACTCTAAAAGAAAGAAAGAAAGAAAAGCTGTTCCCCCTGCCTTTCTCTTTTCCTCTTTGGCAAACTCCTATTTATCCTTCAAAACCCAGCTCAAATATGTATTCTGTAAAGCCTTGGTCTAATATCATCAAATACTTGGACCTGATCCTTCCATGCATTCCTATAGCAATTTATGCACACTTCTCACAATGCTCTTACCGTATTTTGTTTTGTTTTGTTTTGTTTTGTTGAGACAGGGTCTCGCTCTATCGCCTAGGCTGGAGTGCAGTGGTGCAATCACAGCTCACTGCAGCCTCAAACCCCTGGGCTCAAGTGATCCTCCTACCTCAGCCTCCCAAATAACTAGGACGACAGGCATGTGCCACTACACCTAGCTAATTTTTTTACTTTTTGTAGAGACAGGGTCTCGCTATGTTGCCGAAACTCACCTTTATCATATTTTTGAAGGATATTTGTCTTTCACAATCAAATGGTGAAATGAGAACACAAAGACCATGTCCTATTTATCTTTGTAGTCCCAACACTAAACAAAGTTCCTGGCACACATTTGGTGCACAATAAATGGCTGCTGAATGAATGGGCAGTAGGTGCTTGATGTGCACTTATTGAATGATCACTCTCATCCCAACCGTTTCCCTGGGCCAACATCATCATCAGTTCTACAGGAATGGAAAAGCTGCAGAGATAACCAGATTCCTTAATTCACTGGGCATTCACTGAGCCTCTACTGTATGCCCAGCACTATGCTAAGTCTCTATGAGAGCTACAGGAGATTTAAGTCCAGTCTTAAATTCTTGTTGTAGTGACTTGGCACACACACATATTATCAAACCAACAGGTATAACATGGCTAAAGTTTCCTACTTAAAGCAAATTGGATTTTGATTTTGAAGGAGACAGTGGGTGTGGATGATTTGAGAAGCCAGATGAGAACAGTCCAGACCTAGAGACTGTCATGGATCATGGACAAAGCATGGGAAGAGGAACAAGCAAATCCTCCTGGGTTGGGGTATGGTTGATGGTGGTGAGGAGCCAAGAGATAAGCTTGGCTGTGGTCAAGCCAAGGTGGGAAATGATGGTATATAAAATTGGAAGAGTGTGACTCCCTGCTTCCCTCCCTGATCTTGAGATGCCTTGCTCCTGCCAGGCCCAGAGGCCCCAGATCCCAGCGGTGGCAGGTTTTATTTAGCACACTGGGTCGGACTCAGATAATTACTTAATTGAATTTGCTTAAAAATAGAGTTGGCAAGGAATGCCCACAGGATTTATTTTTGCTCTGGCTGCTTAATAAAGCCTTGGGACACAAAAGGAAAGGGTTGATAGGAGAGCCTGGAGTCACCTGGGCCTGGACTCCCCCAGGTCCCTACCTGTGATGAGGCTGCTATGGTCCATACTGGCGGCAGCATGGAGGAGGGTGCTGTTGTGACATCAGGTAATTTCACGAGTGCAGCAAGAGTTGGAAGATTGATGTCTATCTCTCACCCAGACAAGAGCCTCACACTATGCCTGGTGGCCTGACTGAGAAAGAAGTAACTCTAGGTGGGTCCTAGCTACTCTGTGGCATTTGCATTCAGATTAGACTGGAGTGGGGGCATCGTTATGCTTATAACCTAGCTGTGCCTGTAGCCTAGCTGTGAGGTATGGAGAGGGGAATCATGGTGGAGGAAGGAGAAAGTGGAGAAGGGGAAGTAGAAGGGAGAGGAAGAGACGAGAGGGGAGGGGAGTGGGGAGGAAGGGAAGGAGTTCTTCACTGGGTGGCCTGCCCTTGACGGATTACTCTGCAATGTTGAGATGGGATAGGATGCGCCTGTTCATACTTCCCAAATCCAAGTCATACGTCCTCTGCATTTTCAAGCACTCAGGACACAAATATCCTCCTGGTTACTTGGACCTTGGGGTCTATTTCACCCTGATTTGCAGGGGCTCCATATTACTCCTTTTCCCCTCTGCTCACCAATTATCACTTCTCTTAAACCTTTTCTTCTAGGATTGACACAGATCCCAACCATCAATTATTCAGACAGCTTGCCCAGTGGGGTCTTGTAGTCCCCTGGGTTTGCCAGCCTTCCTCATGCAGAGATGGAGGAGGGCATAGGCTGAGTTTGGGAATGAGAGTCAGGGAAATGGAGACGGAAGACACCTGTGTCCTCCATCTCTTCTTCTCACTAACTCTACCTCAAATAATATAGAAGTGCCTGGCACCCTGCTGATTTCCCTGCTCTGTCTGGGCCTGCTATCTTCTCCCGACAACTGTGGCTGTGCCTCAGCACATAAATGCCAAGGGCCTCCAGATAGATCTGCCCATCACAGCTATCAAAAGCACACAAGTGCCTGTTAGCTCTAGCTATCCCCTCCGTCCCCACTGGGATATTACTAACTTCTGCAGATTCCTGAGGAACTCAGCCAGAATGCATGACTGCTTAACACACTTCTTTTCTGCTCTTCACCTGCCTCTTCTCATTTGCACATCTGGAGCCGACAGTTCATTGCATGTAAACCTCCCGAAGCAATGAGAAACACTGTGGCTGGCCAAGACTCCCCAAATTGGCAGCTGCATGGCATGGGCTGTCAAATATTACCTGTCCTTTGAAACAATACCACCCAGTAGCAGATTTTGTATTGTCTTAATCTGAACCACTTGTCCCCCTCAACATCACTGAGAGGTATCTGGTAGCAGGCAACAGGTATTTATTTTGCTTCCCCTCTAGTGCTAAGAACATAGCAGGTGCCTAATAAAAACTTGGTGACTTAATGAGAGTCTGTATCATTTCCCTTAGGTAACTTCACTCATCACTGCATGGCCTTTTCCAGTCAAGATGTGGAGTTGCAAGATCACTTAAATGTGAAGAGAGCTCAATTTCACCAGCCACTCATTCCCTGCGTCTTCAAGAAGCCACTACTTCCTTCTTGTTTCTATCAAGTAGCAAAAGATGTTTATGGAGCACTTGCTCTGAGTGTAAGCTACTGTGTTAGGGATGGAAATTTCTCTAAGCATCAGAAGGATCTTGAGCGAATCAATATATATATTCCTTCTCCCCACAATACCTGGGGCCTGTCTGGATGTCACATATCCCTCTTCACTTACCACTTTCCCCCCTCCAGCACCTGGACGCTCCCACTCTAATCCACTGGGAAAGCTGTCCACTATAAGTAGCCCCAGAGCAAGAGCTTGACAGCCAGGCAGATTATGGCCAGGGGCTGAGGAGATGGAGCCAAAGCTATACTTACTGCATCTGTTTCTCCAACTGCCACCTGTTCAGAAAATCGAACCTTCACAGGATTGGACCTCAGCTTGGCCTTCTTCGCAGCACTGATGAAAGCAGATTTGGGGGACTGGAAAAAGAACAGAGAGATGGTGAGTTCTCCATATCTAGGGAAAGCCTAACCTTTGTCACGTCAGAGTTAAGATGTCCCAGTACAGGTACACTTTGCATTACTGATCAAGGAGTCAATAAATAAATATTGATTCCCTACGAGGTGCAAGGCAATGTGCTAAATGCTTCCCTGTATAATTGGTGTGTTCTGAAACAGCTGGGCATGAATTGAATTTGGGTAGATTGAACCCCACTATTAATATTCTAGGCCTAGGTGAGTTTGCAAAAGTTCTTTAGTAATAACATACATTGAGTTTTTATATATTTGGTTTTCTTAATGTGAGATAGACCTAAAAGATGTCTTTTTTTTTTATTACATCTGAATATAAGCATCCCAAAGAATTTACAGAAATGATCTTATTCATCTCACAGACATGCCCTGCCCCTAGGAAGGAGTTGCATAATAAATACTGTTTTAGATGTGGGAGAAAGGAGACCTAGCACTCCAAAAGGATTTTTCCACAGTTACTACACTATTGGGGAATAGAGATGTGACAGATTTAACCCAAGTCTCCTGGCTTTCTAGTTTTGGGCTCGGCACCACTTTGTTTATCCAATTCTGTAAGAAATGCCCCCAAAATCAGCCAGGCTTGTATTTTTTTTTAAATTTTTTTTTTGAGACAGAGTTTCACTCTTGTCACCCAGGCTGGATGTTGACAAGATGGCGCAATCTCGGCTCACCGCAACCTCCACTTCCTGGGTTCAAGTGACTCTCCAGCCTTGCCTCCTGAGTAGCTGGGATTACAGGCATGTGCCACCACACCCAGCTAATTTTGTATTTTTAGTAGAGATGGGGTCTCACCATGTTGGCCAGGCTGGTCTTGAACTCCTGACCTTAGGTGATCCACCTGCCTCAGCCTCCCAAAGTGCTGGGCTTACAGGCCACCATGCCTGACTGGCTTTTAGTTCTTGAAAACTCTCCCACAATTTTAGTGGAAGCATGATTAGCAAACACTGGAAACTAAGCCTTTCCTGGGTGCCCCTTGGATTCTAGCTCCCTGCTTAGCTCCATATGGCCCAGCAATCAGGAATACAGGGGTCGTGCTGAGGGGCATCCTCATTGTCTTTGGTCGGGGTGGGGGGCATTTATTCAATCATTTGACAAATTTAGCAAGGGCCTACTACATGCCACACACTGTTCTAGGTGATGAGGGATAGAGCAGTGAGTAAGACAGACAAAACTCCCTGGCCCCATGGAGTGTCCATTCCAGCAGGGATAGACAGACGATAAATATCTTTTAGGTAGTAAAGAAAGACTATGAGGAAAAATAAGGCAGGGTAAAGGACTACGCAAGAGAATGAGTGAGTTAGAGTGGGAGTAGTGAGGGTATTATATTAGCAATTTTGAAATACATAATACATTATTATTAACTATAGTCACCATACTGTGCAATAGATCTCAAAAACTTATTCCTCCTGTCTAAGTGAGCCTTTGTATCCTTTGAACAGCATCTCCCCATTCCCTCCCAACCTTAGCCTCTAGTAATCACCATTCTATGCTCCACTTCTATGATTTTGACGTTTTTAGATTCCGCATATAAGTGAGATCATGCGGTATTTGTCTTTCTGTGTCTGGCTTATCATAATAATAATTATTATTTCACTTAGGATAATGTCCTCCAAGTTCATCCATGTTGTAGCAAATGACAGGATTTACTTCTTCTTAAAGGCTGAATAGTATTCCATTGTGTATTTATACCACATTTTCTTCATCCATTCATCTGCTAATGGTGGACACTTAGGTTGTTTCCATATCTTGGCTATGGTGAATAGTGCTGCCATGAACACGGGAATGCCGATGGCTCTTCGGCATACTAATTTCAATTCCCTTGGATATATATCCACAAGTAGGATTGTGCGGGTTATATTTTTAATTTTTTTTTTTTTCTGAGATGGAGTCTCGCTCTGTCGCCCAGGCTAGAGTGCAGTGGTGTGATCTCGGCTCACTGCAACTTCCGCCTCCCCAGTTCAAGTGATTCCCCTGCCTCAGTCTCCCGAGTAGCTGGGATTACAGGCAGGCATCACCATGCCCAGCTAATTTTTGTAGTTTTGGTAAAGATGGGGTTTCACCATGTTGGCCAGGCTGGTCTTGAACTCCTGACCTCAAGTGATCCACCCACTTCGGCCTCCCAAAATACTGGGATACAGGTATGAGCCACGGCGCCCGGCCACTGTGGGAGGTTATTTTAGACAGGATGGTCAGGGAAGACCTAAGGATGAGACATTAAGCAGAAACTTAAGGAAGTGAGGGAGAGAGAGCCACCAGGCTATCCGGGGAAAGGCTTCTGGGCAGAAACTACAGTAAAGGCCCTGAGGTGAATTGAGGTGTATGAAGAACAGCAAGGAAGGCCAAGGTGGCTGGAGTGGCGTGATGGAGCAGGAGCAAGACGGGAGATGCTCAGAGAGGCAGCTGGGGGCTGGGTCATGGAGGATCTTGTAAACCACGGTGAGAACTTTGGATTTCACTCCACTAGAGGGATTCGATTGAACAGAGTCTGATGTGCATTTTAAAAGGAAGCCTCTGGTTGCTGTGTGGAAAACAGAGTGTAGGAGGACAATGGCAAAAGCATGGAGACCAGTTGGGGGTAAGTACAGTATTTGTAACTGCAATAATATGGTTAAAACATGATGGAGGCTTGGGCTAGGATGGTAGTGATGGAGTCGAAAAGTGAGTGAATTCTGGATATATTTTGAATACTGAGTTAGGATGCTATGTTGACTGATTGGATATAAGAGTGAGGAAAACAGAGACTTCAACTGAAAGAATGGACTCGCTATTTACTGAGATGAAGAGGACTAGGGAGTGAATCAGGTCTGGGGCTACTTCAAACCACCACCCCTATGGGCCTTGCCATGGAGCCCAAGTCTTACAATCAGGAATTTCTTTGTGTTAAGGCCCTGAAGGTCCCTGCCAGCTGGGAATACATTAAGCTATTATCTACCATTTACACTGCAGTTGAGATTCATTTACCAGATCAGCCACAGGAGGGCAGGGCCCTAAGATACACATCAGAAACAAACATCCTCATTGTGTCTTGGGCCCTGGTCCCAGCTGTGTTCTCCGTCAGAGCCAGCAATCTCATTCCCACAGAGGGGAGACTGCAAAAAACCACTTGTTTCACCTGAGACCAGCAGGAACTCAGGCAGTGAGTGTCAGTCTTGGCTGCATAGTAGAAATGCTGGGAGGAGCTTTTAAAAATCCTGAAGCCCAGGGCCCACCACAGACCAGTTACATCAGAATTCCTGGGGGTGAGGTCTGAGCATCAGTATTTTTTTTCAAGCTTCTGATGATTTCCAAATGTAGCCAAGATTAAGAACCATTGAGCTAAAGGAACCTTAGACTTCTCATCCTGAGCCAAAGGGGCAATTTGTTGGCAGCAGACAATATAGCACAATGAAATCCAGAGCTGGAGATCGTTGCAGAAAGTGATTACAGTATTGATTATACATGGAGTTGATAAATGCCTCTGTGTGTTGCACAGCCTGGTGCTCCAATCCTGAGCAGGGACTGAAGGCTGAGGCAGAAGCAAGAGAAAGGGGCAAGATAGATAGAAAGATCTGTAGCTATGCTCAGGCAGCTGTGTTTGATTCCATCTCCACAGTCATTCAAAGTTCCACCAAGGTGCCACAAACATGAGGCAAGGGGAATCTTTCTACCTGACACTCACCTCTCTTCTCTGCCATCATCTGCCCTCAGATGACTGCATGGCACAGTGTGTAGAACGAGGCATCTCTAGAGACCTGAATGGGCCATGCAGCTCAACCTTCATTTTCACATGTGAAATGGAGGCCTGGGAAGAGGATATACTTTACCCAAAGTATTGAAATAATTGAGTAGCAGAGCCGAAACCAGAACCCACGTTTCCTGAGCCTTTGCTTAGTGATTGTTCCCCCACAGCAGGCTAAAGCTGGGAGTCCTTTCCTGATCTTTCATCCACTGGTTCTGGTTCTACCTTGGTGTTACGTAATGGACTCAAACAAATGAAGAACCCCAACTGGTATCCTTTTATGTATTCACCACAGTGAAGAGGATGGCATCCTTGCTATCCCTACCAAAGATGCAAGATTAGATCCTGTCCTAGTGAGTTTCTGTTTGTACCACTGAAAAACCAAAGATTCAGTTAATTATAGGCACAAACCACAAAGGAGGAAATGAAATTGCCAATATTTTCAGGGATTATAATCATTTCTAGGTGTCTGTTTCAGAGTTATTTTCAGCTTGTTTATACTTCATTCCTCATTGACCCTTGTCCTGTCGGTCTCTAAGATTCCATCCTATTCTCAGTCTTTAGCCTTAATGCTGGTGACTCATTCATTGCCAGCTGGTCTCTGCTAGATGTCATGGAGTCACATCTAGCCTTATGCTCAGACACAGGTGAGGCCTGCTTTGCAGTGTGATATGAGGGGTCTCTCAGAGGCCTCCCAGTCCCAAAGCATCTTCAAAGCTCAGCTGTGGGGCTTGAAGTTTGTAATATTAGGGGCACTCCTTTGTATTACAATGTTGAGAATTGGAAAGGCCCTGGTCAAAATGTGAATGAGGTAGTAGGAAGGCATAATACACTTCAGGGGCCAGCATATTACAGGCCTACATAGGCCAAATCTTGCTCACCACCTGTTTTTGTAAATAAAGCTTTACTGGAACACAGCCGTGATCTTCATTTATGTATTGCCTGTGGCTGCTTTCGTGCTACCACATATGGCTTGCAAAGCCTAAAATACTAATTATATGGCCCTTCAGAGAAACAGTTTGCCAACCTTTGCACTAATTCATAACCAAGCACTAACCAGCTGTTTTTAAAACTTGCCTGATGATAAGAATCACTGAGGAGTGCTTGTTAAAGCACAGATGCCTAGGCTCATACCAGATTTTAAAAGTTAGAATCTCTGGAAGAGTGGGGCCCAGAAATCAACATTGTTGAAGATATCCCAATCCATTAAGCATACATTAATTGAGCACCT